AGACAAAACAGGCTGAATTCAAATGACGTATTTGCCAACAAATTTTCAACCTCGAAATTAAAAGATCGGCGACTTAAATATGTTAATGCAATTTATTTTAACATTATTTAAATGGTTATTTTTATGTTAGTTATTAATTTGATATTTCTTTCTTACCCTTATTTTGGCTATAACTGACAATAAGAAAAATGTTTGTTGACTAATATTTTTCAGTACCTATAAGTATGTAGAATTTCCCTTAATCGTAAATTGAATTATAAAATAATGCAATAGAATTATATTTATGTTTTTAATTTGATTTTATAAATTTTATTTCAGACTGAAGTTTGTTCAAGCGCTTTAACAGATGTGATACATGCCGTCATAAACGGTACAGACGGATGTTTGTTCTGCTTTGGACATGCTGGATTAGGTAAGAATTTTTGCATTTTCTCATCTATCACTTCCACTGTAAATGTGCTACTGTGCTACCTACGGTTCTAGCATAGATAGGTTTGTAATGTAATTTGGTGAGGCTATCTCGTCCGATAATACAACGTTCTATAACTAGCTGACTATTTGAGTGTCTAACTGAAGGATGAAACCAATTAACTAGTTTCTGTTCGATATCCAGGATTTTTTGTTCAATAAGAATTTTTAATTAACAATAGGGAATTTTGACCTGTTAAATGCGTTCAAATGTCCCCATTAACAACGGTACCCATACATTTGCAGTTTTGGACGGATTTAAATTATTAAAATATTGAAAGAAAAGTCTGATCACATATTATTTCTCCAATTGATTTTATATTAAATCTTGTAATATCATCATCATCATCATAAGGTCGTCAGTCCTAAGACTGGTTGGACACGTACTTCTACTCTTTCCTATCCTGAGCTAAAACTAGAACAACCCACATCCTGAACTATTTGCGAACAGTAATCTAACCTGGGTCTACCTCTACCCCTCCTAACTCCTGTTTCTGCCTCTAATAAGTCTCTGACTAGACCTTCATGCCTGAGAAGGTGTCCTACTAGCCTATCTCGTCTATTTTTTATTGACTTCCATAGAGTCCTCTGTTCTCCTGTTCTTTGTAATACACGTAATTGGAAATTATGTGGAGTATTCGTTTGCAATGAATGTTTATTTTAATTTATTCTGTCCAGTTAATAGTTTAGTTTTGTAAGCAGATGCTGTAAATACAAGTTTAGTTAATGTATTTTGCATTTAAATAAATAGCGAAAATTAACAGTTATGAATGAGAAATATAACATAGGCGTAAATAAAATGGTAACCAGAATAATCCCAAGATGCTAATTAAGAAAGACTGCCTAATCATTAGTTGAACGCTTCATAAGCAGAAAATGTTCTTTTTTTAAAAGGTAAACGCGGTTATCGCAATTCCAATAAATTTTATAACAGTGTATGAAATAAAACTGAGCAATGCACCACAATTTAATTTAGCTTTTTGTAAAAAGTTTATTTTTGAGTTAAAATTATATTTGGGTTCAAACAAGATTTTTACAAATTACTCTGTTAAAAGGAGTGGTATATTTTGACTTTGTTTTAGTTAAATATTGGAATTTGGATTTGAAATTTAATACGATAGTTAAAAATTCATCAGAATGTTTAATAATATTTAATGCTGATGTTTGCATTTGTGAAGTTATTTTTATTGCTCTAGATTATGTATCCATGTCTGTGTCTAATGCTCCATTAACAAAAATGTACCCTCAACCCCTCTGATATGTGATTTTCTTTAATGTGAACGAAGGATTACCGCTTATCCGCTCTTGAAAAATGATGAAATCGAATAACTGTTTTATATGCATGAACTGACACTGCCGGTATAAACGGTCCCATCAAATTGTAAATTCCTACGTTCGTTGCACAGCAGTCGACTTCATCCCTCATTGTTTATTCATATGTTTAGTTTTATTATTCATTCAATTGTATAACATTTCAATTCCATCAGTTCAAACTGTTCTAAAACGGAAAAAATTTAAACTCATTATTCAATTGACACCACCTGGGAACAAAATATTCAACATCATTTTCTGAGTTTCCACGTTCCTAATTTTCGACTGAATGGTTGATCAGTGTAGGCTTAAGTCTTCAACAAAAACACTTCGTGAAATTCGGTCTAACCGTGCGGATCTAAAAATCTCTAAGTACATTAATCAAATCAAAAGGCACAGGATCCACAAATAGGAGAAAAAAATCTTTTCAGATGAACCAAAAAGGCAAAGTAGGCAACTGGCTATGGGCTACCACCGTTAAAAGGTTCTCACCAATATGAATTTACAATAATTACTTGAAAACAATTTCAATAAATGTACATCATTTGTTAATTACCATTTTATTTTGTGCTAGTATTAGTAGTAAGTTATAGATAATTTCGACTAGGTATATGTCCCCATATATAGGCTCCTAGTAAAATCTGCTTATAGTCGGCACTGAGGCTAATAAGGGTAGTAATGCTTTGTTTTAGTATAGAACCGACAGCAACGTTTCGCCTCTGTTGTGAAGATTTTTTTGCGAAGCGAAACGTTGGTCTCAGTTCTATACTAAAATAAAGAATTACTACCCTTATTGATCTTGATCCCTTTTCACATATTAAACTAAGGGGAAGAAATGGAGAATATTACATAAAATATCCCGGTATAATTGGTAAGAGAATTTCCACTTTCTTATTCTTTATCAAGACAGTTTTAAATTATTCAAAAGTAACTTCCAGATGTCCAATAACAGACTTGCTATTACCATTTTGTAGGTACTATTCAATAATTTTTTTTTATATTACACTAGCTTTAAGAAATTATAATTAAAAGTTCCTCAATTAATGTTTATTTCTATTTTTAGTCAGTGTAATAACTAGCGTTAGTTCAGTTCCATTCTTGTGCCAGAAAGTACTAAAGTGGTAAAAACTAAACGTACTTCAACTCGGAACAGACGGGACAGCGCCTGCCGCCTATGAGTGGCCACGAATTTTCCATACCTGCAACAGTTGGAAATGTATTTGCTTTTAATTTAATCATAATAATTTTAGAAAAGTTTTAATGGCCAAAAATTCATACATACGTAGTCTCTTTTAAACGACACTATTTTGCGAGATCACGTAGTTACTTCAAACAGTTAGAAAATGCTGAATTTAAACGTTTAGATAAAACGGGTTTATCAAGGTCCATGACACTGATACATGATATTTACTACTTTTTAGTCTTTTTGTTTAAACAAAAAAATGGCTCAATCGAATGTTATGTAATTATTTTCGGATCATTTACCGTTAATTCGTGCCTCCTTATATACTGGAAAGTTAATAATTTTTACTAAACTGTTTGTTTTGTATTTAATGTACAGGTGAAAGGGATAATTTGGTGAACTTGTGGATATATTTTTTCAACCGCGTTTATCTAACAATATCTCCTAATTCTCTGAAAACTGTCGTAAACTGAACTCTCAAGATCTTTTGAACAGTGTTAAAAACCCCCACAAGTTTTAAATTGTATTTATTTGACTTATTTACTATTTATATGAAAAAACGGTTTAAGATATTTGTACGAATTTTTCTGTTGTATTTCTTTAATGTGACTAAATGTAAAATTTAGTTAACCAACTTTTATTGACTTTATAATGACATTAAATAAAGTCAATGAAATGTCGCATAGCAAGGAATATTTTAATGTACATAAGGTTTTCGCTTTTCCAGCTTTTTATCATTCGAGATGAATCACTAAAAGTTTCTACGTTAAAAGTTTCCTTCCAAGTTTCGACGCGTTACGAAAATTCTATCCGGAAAGTTGCACCGTCAAAAGTTCCTACTTGTGACAGGGATATTAATCAAAGTCTCCTTGATTTCGGTCATAATTATCAACATGCCTTGATTCTGTTTTCCAATTAGCAGATCTCCGGGCTCTACGGAATCAATCTTACTTAAACCGCGCCAAAGGTACTAATTGAAGGCAAATTAAAATTCGCAGATGGCATATTTAATTATTTTTACCCCTGTTTTAACGAAAATTAATGTACTTTTCTCTTAAGCATGGTAAAAAAGTAATTTAATTTATTCAAATAAATGAACGTAGTTACAACTTGAAGTTTGGTCATTCTGTTTGTTTTTAGCCTATAACAGAATAAACACAGTCCAAGGAGAATACGGCTGTATTTTTGAATTTAATAAGCTACTGGGTTGTTTGTTTTATTGCTTATTAATATAATGGAATAAATTGGATGATAAATAAACCAACACGTTCAGTCAGTATCAGAAGGTCTCGTCGGTTCTAAGACTAGTTGGGCACTCACCTTTTTCCTATCCCGAGCCAATCTTTGCATTTCCCTAAAACTGGAACAATCTACATCCTGCATCTACCCTTCCCATCTCCTGTTTCTGCCTCTAATATGTCTGACAAGGTGCCCTACCAACCTATCTCGCTTATTTCTTATTGACTTCCATAGAGTCCTCTGTTCTCCTATTCTTTCTAATATCTCTTCATTTCTAACCTTCTCTATCCACCACCTGTAACACCACATTTCGAACGCATCTTATCCCTTTTTGTCGCCGCACCCACCTTCAATGTCTCGCACCTTTAACCATTTTCTTTTTCGAATTTCTAAATTAACGTGATTTTATAAAATTACTAAGAGTAGGCATTAATAAAAATGAAGAAAATTGAAATCTCTGTGGAACATGCTTAAAATTTTTAGAACTGACTGTAAATAGACGAACAAATGCGTAACCCCTGAAACAAACTCCCGCTTGCTTCATCTAAAAAACATGCTCCATATTTCATTTAACGAATTTTTGTATATCCATTGTTGTTTAACATTCTGGGTTTTAAAATCTTTGAATATTTTATATCTTTTGTCTTTTTTTAAATTTTATACAGTGTGTCGTTAAATTATAATTGGATATACGAATTATTTTGTTTCTCTTTTGTAATTTACTTCTTTTATTATTTATGCACATTTAGAATGGATGTTGTTTGGTATCAAAAGAGAAAAAGTAGTAAATCAAGTAATTTCCTTCAACATAATCTGAAAACGAGTCGGGTGTTTGTTTTGCATTCGGATGGACTCGACGATTTCTTTCTTGCATATTAAACGAAATTAAATCCCACAAGCAATTTGCAAAGAAAATTAGGTTCCAAGAGCAAGAGGTGCAATTTTCTGCAGTTTGTGATTATGCATATAAATTAAAATAATTTAAGCAAACGGAATGCTTCGTATACAAATGCGATAAATACTTCAACTGGGCAATTACGGCCATGTACTCAATCTAATAATTATTTAGTAATTCTATTCATCCCACATACAGAATGTATTTATCGATTTAGCTATCGAGTGAGATCTTTTTGTTGTTATTATCCTTGCTCTTCTTATTTTTATTTCTACTTACACACTTAACAAACAGTGACTCCTTCGGGAGTTGTACAATTAAACATAAAAATATTATACTACCTACACTTGCTTATATAAATCCTAACTAATATTATACGAGGGTGGATTGATAAGTTTCCGGCCTGACCAAGAAAAACAAGGTTTTTAAAAATTTTTTTTTTTTATTTCTCAACATAATCTCCTCCANTGAAACAAACTCCCGCTTGCTTCATCTAAAAAACATGCTCCATATTTCATTTAACGAATTTTTGTATATCCATTGTTGTTTAACATTCTGGGTTTTAAAATCTTTGAATATTTTATATCTTTTGTCTTTTTTTAAATTTTATACAGTGTGTCATTAAATTATAATTGGATATACGAATTATTTTGTTTCTCTTTTCTAATTTACTTCTTTCACTATTTATGCACATTTAGAATGGATGTTGTTTGGTATCAAAAGAGAAAAAGTAGTAAATCAAGTAATTTCCTTCAACATAATCTGAAAACGAGTCGGGTGTTTGTTTTGCATTCGGATGGACTCGACGATTTCTTTCTTGCATATTAAACGAAATTAAATCCCACAAGCAATTTGCAAAGAAAATTAGGTTCCAAGAGCAAGAGGTGCAATTTTCTGCAGTTTGTGATTATGCATATAAATTAAAATAATTTAAGCAAACGGAATGCTTCGTATACAAATGCGATAAATACTTCAACTGGGCAATTACGGCCATGTACTCAATCTAATAATTATTTAGTAATTCTATTCATCCCACATACAGAATGTATTTATCGATTTAGCTATCGAGTGAGATCTTTTTGTTGTTATTATCCTTGCTCTTCTTATTTTTATTTCTACTTACACACTTAACAAACAGTGACTCCTTCGGGAGTTGTACAATTAAACATAAAAATATTATACTACCTACACTTGCTTATATAAATCCTAACTAATATTATATATGCGAATGTGAGTTTGTTTGTTTGTTGCTTTTTCACGCCTTAACTACACAATCGATTATCATGAAATTTTGTACACACATTGTCAGTGATACAGCAAAGTACATAGGGTACCTTTTATCCAGAAAAAATGCTGTTTCCGGGGAATAGAAACAAATAAATTTTATGTGGTCGATTTCAAACAC